TCTCTCTCTCTCTCTCTCTCTCTCTCTCTCTCTCTCTCTCTCTCTCTCTCTCTCTCTCCTCCTGCCACTGGGCCTCCTCTTTTTATCTGCTTTTATTCTATTGCATGTGTGTGCGCGCCGTTCCTGCTCTATTTCTTTCTTCTTCGTCACCCGTTAGGGAATGGCCGTCAGGGATCTAGAGGGGGCGACGTGTCGCTTTCTGCAGCACTTCTTCTCCCTCTTGGACGCTCGTGAGCCGCATCCGGCATTGTTGGCGCAAGGTGAGGAGGGGGACGCGCCTCCGCTGCTGCAAGTCAAGCAACGTGCCGCCATTGGGAAGCTGCTGCCAGAATGGGCGCGCCTGCTTCTCACACAGGCGACGGAGCAACGGAAAGCGAGTGGGAATGCTGGACGCAGCGACTCTCGTGGTGGTGCTCCTGCTGCGACATCTTCTTTTTATCTTGACGGCGATGTGGTGGAGGGGTGGTTTGCGTTTCCGCACCTCGCACTCATCTCCTCACCGTGGACGACGCGGCGGGTCCCTCCCCCTCGTAGTGCGACTCGTCATCGCCTACTGCGCCACCTGCAGCAACGCTATGAGTGTGGCGCCACGGCTGGAGAAGAGCGTAACGCATTTGTGCAGGACATGTTGCGCTCCCTGTCGCATCACAAGGCTGCGGATGGACGCAGCGTGGAGCAGTTGGCATTTATGCACGCTGTGGAGTCCCTCTTCCCCCACCATTTGTCTAGCCAGTGCCACCAAGAGCCGCCGGTGGCACTGGTGGCGGCGGCGCTGTTCAGTGAGTGGTGCGCCGCTTCCGAGGGTGATGCGTCCTTTGCCTCCACGCGCGTATCACTCCAGGTCATCGCGGATGACCTCGCTGCCTATCGCTCTGCCAACAACAGCCCCGCGCGTGAGGGGAACGGAGGCGCCACGACCAACAGGGTGGCAGAGCCAGGCCTGCGACGAGGCGATGGCGAGGATGTGGACGCCTGCGTGGTTGTCGGCACGCTTGCTGGTTTGGCCTGCGCGTACCCAATGACCACCACGGAACGGGCAGGTGCCGACAGGATGAGAGTCGCCGCTCAACCGCCGCGCAAGAGAGGACGAGGCGACGACACGGATGACGACAACGAGGACGAGGAGGACGACGACGACGACGACGATGACGAGGACTACGGTGGTAACGATAGTGCCGAGGATGAGGAGGAGAACACGAGTAGTCGCATGAGTGATGGCTATGACAAGGTGCTGCGGTCGCGGCACCACCGGATGAATGCCTTTGTTAGACGTAACACTACCTTCTTTCGGGTTCCGCTTGCCTCACTCGTGCTGAACGTCTTCCACGTCAGGCAGGACGGCACGGGTGACGCGGTGATGGAGCGTCATATCGTTCCCACCAGCAGCACCGAGGCCCACTTTCGCCGCGGTGAGCTGCTCTGGTTCAGCGTTGGCGAGTCAAAGCGGCACCGCAGCATGTTGGAGTAGAAATGACTGCAAAGTAAAACTGAAACGAACTGCCATGAATGTGGGAGAGAGATGTGCGTGCGAGTACGTGAATGGGGAAGGGAGAAGGTGATGGGTTCATATCCCTCTCATTGACTTGTTAACGCCGCTCACCTGTGTGTGTGTGTGTTTCCCTGGCTGTTATTCCCTCCTCCTTTTTCTTCGGCCTGCGGGGTTGTGCAGGAGTCGGGAGTGCCTTCTGCACCAGAGGTGGGGGAGGGGGGGCACTGACGAGCGCGCGCGAACAGGAAGAGGCACGAGAGAGATGCGACGGCAAAGAAGAAGTAGTGCACGCATGAAAAAGAAAGGAAGGATTGCACTTTTTTTTTCTTTTCTTTTTTTTTTTGCGCCGACTACCATGAGGGAAGAAGGGCGCAACGCAGAGGGGAAGAGGAAAGTCAAAAAAAAAAAAAGAGGAAGGTAGGTGCCCCTCTTCTCCCTATATCGACTTGTAGCGGCGTGACTTTGCCCGTTGGGTCTCACACCGCCTTCCCAACCCTATATATGTATAGTATTTTATTTTATTTTTTGATTTTGCAGCTACTAGGGACGTGCGAGCGAAGCGGAGGCACAAGGACGAAGGATAACAATTGCTAGAAGCAACCAAAGGAAAGGAGGGGGGGGTCCGGGTGCGCGAGCTGTTTTGCGTGCATTTTGTCTTTTTTCACGCATTCTGCCGGGCCAGCGCGTGGTGACGCGTCATGCCGGTCATATATCTGCAGACAGGCGACGGGACGCGGGTTGCGGTGCCAGAGGGGGCCGGGGAGCTCTCCCTCGTTGTGCACCTCGCACTAGAAATATGGGCGGAAAGCCACTGTTCGCCGATTACACCAACAGAAGACGATGCCGATAATATTTGCATAAACAGTGGAAGCAACTCCGAGCGCACCCCCGACCGCATTCTTGATGAGGAGGAGGAAGAGGAGGACGACGATGACGATGACGACAAGGACGGGGAGGAGGAGGACGATCAGTCAACCTGCATTTGTGGCGCGGTGCAGACCTTCGACAGTCGCACGGCGGAATACAAAGAGAGCCACGACTACGAGGGGGGGAGGCTGCGGGAACCTAGCGTGGAGCTCTTTGACTATCTAGACCCCCCAGTGGGCTTCTTAGACGACGAGGTTGCCGGTGGCGCTGAACATGACGACGACCGCAGCAGCAGCCGTACACCATCGGTGTGTCCCTCGCCGGAGTGGACGCCCTCGTCACCAACACCGATCCGGGGACAAGAAAAAGATCCTCGGAGCGGTGGCAGTTTGACGCGTAGTAGTCACGACAGCGGCAACACCGGTGGCAACTTGGAGTTTAACGAGAATGCTGGGATATTGCGGAAGCGTTTGATGTTGCCGTCGTCTGGCACGGATGCTTACAACGAAGACAGCGCGACGCCAAGCACATTCGAGGAGAGGGAGGAAACAGAAACAGAAGAAGAAGAAGAAGTAGTAGTAGTGCCGACAGAAAGCACAGTAACCAGCGTGCAGTGCTGTTGCGTTGATAGCGATCCCCCTCCGGTTCCGGAGATTACCCCACCCTCCGCATACGCCCACCCGCTGTTACAGGGCAGCTTAGAGGCACCCGCAGCGACGGTAACGTCGACTGCGTCGAGCAGAACCTGCGGGAATGGCAGCAACGGCAACAACGACGGTAAAGCGGGCCGCTCCAAATTAGAATTACCGCGTGCCGCAGCGATGGTGGTGGTCAGACAATGTGATGCCACCACAGTCCGTGTCACATGCCCCTCCGCAGTTGGGGAGGAGGCGGAGTTTGATGGCATTTCGGGTGTCCCAATGTGTCTCTCACCACGCAGTCTCACAAATGAGGAGTTCTCCTCTCCCTCCGGCTTTCACCAACGCACCCCTTGCATGATTGGCGAAGACGAGAGCCTGTTTCCCACGGATGGTACATTTTCCTCCTCAAATGAGGATGTGGCGATGCTCAATCGGAGTAAAGAGTTTGTTTCCCCAGAGAATAGCAGTGTAAACAGGAACAATAACAATAGTACGGGGACCCCTGGCAGTGTGGAGGCGTCGCCCAGGAGTCCACGGCCTAGTCACAGATTAACAGAAACAACCCCCAACACACATGCATGGTCGACGGTACACAGCAGCAGTTTGGAATCCTCGAATCAGAACTTAGCTACCTGCAATAGTGGGCCTCCGTTGACGGAGGATGCCGCGACGGGTCAGCTGCACCAGTGCTTCATCATCTCAAAGGAGGAGATCGTCATTGAGGTGCAGAAATCGCTACTCTCTGTCAACATCATAACCCCGGCTACCGAGAAAGAGCTGCAGAGTCAAAGCCTGACGTCGTACTCGGTCTCGCAGAACTTGGTGCTGAGACACCAACCCACATCCGAAACAATGGCGCTTGCCGAACTCACCGGCGCGACACAGCTGACAAATAGCACACAAAGCCAAGTGGAATCGGTAGCACCGGCACCAGATGCAGCTCGTGGGGGTGGAGCTTGTGAGGACGGTAGCGGTGTTTACCCGACCATTTTCCCGGAGGCATTGCGGCTCTGTGCGGCGTATCTGTGCTACTTTACTGGCGACGCAGGGTCGATGGAACGACTGCATCCGACGATAGTTCCCGAGCCGCTCAGTGCTCCGCTGGTTCGTTTCTTGACTTCCTGGGAGCGTAGCTTTCTGTACCATGAAATTCTAGGCCAAACAGAGGAAGAGACGGCTTTGGCGATGAAGGTTCTGTACCTCGCTCCCACTATAAGCTACACCTTTGCGGCGCCCTTTTTACGTGAACCAGATGTCTGTGCCGCACTACTGGTGAAGGCGCCTGACTCTAACCGCGTCGCTCTGCTTGCCGGCGTCATTCGTGCCGCCAGGGCACTGAAGATATCGTCGCTAGAGAACATGTGCCTTGCATGGTGTGCAGATTATATTATACGCGCGAGCTACGCATCTATTAACTGCTTCGAAGCCGCTGCGCTGCTGCGTCAGTGCTTCAGCGTGCGGAGTGACTGGACAAAGAGGGAGATAGAGTGTCTGAAATTAGAGAACGAGTGGCCAGGCAACGACGAGGAGTAGCCGCAGCCTCTCTTACCCCTCCCAGCCGGCGCCCCGCTGGAACCAGACGGCAAGAACGGAAAAAAACACAACAAGACTGCTAAAAAAAAAAAAAAGAGGAGGAGAAATAAAAGGGGGTAGGGGTGGGAAACAAAGAAATAAACAGATAATGCCACAAAAGGAGAACGACAGCAAAAAAAAAAAAAAAAAGGAAATGGGAGGGGTGGCGGTGACGAGTGATTGCCGAAAGCAAGGGAGTGAAAGGCAAGAATAAGCCACAACAGAGGAGTGTCGTCACCTACTGTCCCCACTCTCCCATCCCCCAAACCCCTTTCGAACCACATCGATACGGGTGTCCATCTGTGTGGATGCACGTACGAGCACTGTTGATGGAAAATGAAACCAAACACGACCAGAAGGAAAAAGATTTTGTACGTTTTGGGGAAATGGTGCTCGTTGGGGTGGGGGACGGAGGTATCTTCTGTCTCCTCACTGCATCTGGGCATGATTGCTAGGGCTTCCTCCTTGTCTTGGAAAGAGACGTGTATTTGTGCCTCTGTGTTTGTGATTGTATTTGCGTTTGTGTGTGTGGTGGTGGTGAGGAAGAGGGTGTATATGTCTACCTTTTATCTCAATAAAGCGGGAGTGCCTCTCTGTGTACCCTTGCAACGGAGGCGCACCTAAAGAGAGAGCATTCAACGGGCCACCATAAGGGATTACCGATCCATACTAAGCACCTTCTGTTTCTCTCCGCTCCACACACACACACACACACACACACACATACAGGGATATATATAGAGAGAGAGAGAGCCAACGAAAATATTATGGATGATTCATGTCCTATTTCGACGTGTTTACGTGCACACATACCACATAACTTTCTCTTTTATTCTCTTCCGATGGCAATTGTTTTTTGCACTCACATATATTGCTTGATTTGTGCGTGTGTGGTGGCTCATTGTGGAGGTGCCTTCCTTCGTCTTCATTGCCTTGGAATGCGCGTGTGAGTGCTTGCAAAAAGCGACATATATTTATGTATAGGTCAATAAACGGAAAGTAAGTACGTGAGCCAGCGAGCCAATTCCGCACGTGGTGACAAACGAGAAGAGGAAGACGCGGCGGTAAGGTTTAGTGGAACTCAAATACAAGACTGTATATATATATATATATATATATATATGCCAAAGGGCATGCCTGCTTGTGATGTGGTGCTTCGCTCTCAGGAAGGGGTGTCCTTTACGATACCGGCCATCGTTGCCTGGGAGCAAATTGGTCTTCTCCAGGCGTTGGCTGAGCTCGACGAGGGTGGAAATGCAGAGATGCCGCCTGTGGAACTTGACTACACCGAACTTGTGGTGAAGTTTGTGGTTGAGTACTTGCAGAAACCCGAGAAACGAAGCGTTAAGATACCGAGGCCGCTTTCAGCTTCCCTTAGTAACTTTGCAGCTGCCTGGGAGATGGCCTTGGTGCGGAAAATTGAGCAGCACAAACTCCTGATTCAGGTGTTGGAGTGCTGTAGTTACCTTCGCATTGAAGAGTTGCATGACCTGCTTGCCGCCTTTGTGGCGGAGCGGATTCAGGAGATCTCAAGGGCGGCGCCGTCGATTATGGAAGGGGCTGAACGCCTGCGCCAATACCTTCAGCTGGAGAATGAGTGGACGCCGGAGGAGATGGTGTGCTTGGAGCAGGAGATGCAGTGCGCGGCGAAGGTGGACCCCGGCGCCTACTAGCTCTCCTGTTGGCAGGGGTAATTCCTCTCTTTCTATTTATTTTTTCCCCCTCCTTTTACGAAGTGTCGTAGTGCAGGTGTGACGGCAGGCGAACGACACATTAGTTGTATTCCCTTTTTTTTTCTGTTTTCTCTTGTTGTCCACGTCTCTTTAATGACGTTGTAGTTTGATCTAGGTGTTCTCGCCGTATATATATATATATATATATATATATATGTGCGTGTGTCAGCCGCCGTGCGTTTGCCTTGTATTATCCAGTGTGTGGATTTGGATACCTGTTTGGGGTCTGTTTGTCTTCTTTTTTCTCCCTTCATCTTCGCTTGCGCCTCCTTTTGCATGGTGGCAGTGTTGGGTGAGGGGCACCATCAACAGGCAATAACTGCACCCACCACCACTAGTACTGTTGGTGGCGAGAGAAATGAGTGCCACTCCTTTAGCGACGCCGAACGTGTATCGCGAGATATTTTTTGCCGGCTTCCCGCAGCAGGCCGCATACCACGCGGCGTACGTGAAGGGATTTTTTGCCCACTACGGCGAGGTGCAAGATTTAGTGTTTGATGCCAACCGCGGCATGGGCAGTGTGACATTTTCCAATGGAGAGGTGGCGGTGGCCTGCTACCTCGCGGTGAACCTCACTCTTCTGCCACCCCCAGCCGAGCGTGGCGCCAGTAACGTGCATGGGGAAGACAATAACTGCCTCATTGTCATGGAGTTTGCACAGTGCGCACCGTGCGTCAACCCGTGCCTGCTGCTGAACGGGGAGCTGAGCCGTCACCTTATGCGCCACAGGGCACAGGCCCCAGTGGCGAACCACGTTGTGATGACGTGGCACGAGACGACTGAAGCCTCCACGAGGACAACTGCGAAACGGCGACTCGTACGAGAGGGGCCCCACTTCCCCGTGACGGATGCTGCTACTGCGACGGCTGGTAACGTCACGAGGGCGATGAATAACATTCACGAAGCGGTGTGGTCGCTCCTCCGGCCTGAAAAACGGCTCACCGCGGACGGTGCTGCCGTTACTGTTTTGGACCTCTGGTGGGGCTACTACCAACGCTACATGTTGCACAAGACGGAGCCAGCGCAGCATCGCATTAAAGACCCCTACTTTGCCTTTGCACACAAGGCGACGGTGGCACAGGAGGTCCAGCGGGCGCTTAAGCTGAGCCAAACCGGGGGCTCTGGTGATGCGCAGGAAGCCATGAGGGTAGTTAATCGTCTCACGTGCGACGACGTTTACCACAGTGTCTGCAACTACCTCTGCATGAAGCTGCGCTTTCGCAACGATCCAAGTTGGGCGAGTTTGGCTCGTGACGTGGCCGCGGCTGGCGGTGCCGTCGCAAAGGGCAACTACAAGGGGGATGCGGAACCCAACAGCGGTGGTACGAAGGAAGAAGACGGTGATGTTGCGGATGCGGATGAAGAGGTGGAGACAGCAGAGGCAGTCAAGGCGCTATTACGGCTCCCCATCTTGCAGACTGCGGCGAATCTGATTGACAACGTTCGATTTCTCCACAAGGTGCGCTGTGGGGAAATCACGGTGGGCAACAAGCCAGGTAGGCCGAGGGAGGGGGCGGATGACGACACTTGGATGGGCTACCCGGCCAGTGCCCGCCAGGAGGAAAGGAGTTTTTGCATGGAGGTGTTGACCGCCCTGGACGGCTTCTCCCCCACCGGGACGGCCGTCTCCCTGATGGCCATATGTGAGGACCCCCACACCTTCCAGTGCGTGGAGGGGCATATTGGGTGGTGTGAATTGCATGGAAAGAAGCGATCCACCTGGTGGGTAACTTGCCAGGCGATGCTGGTGGTGGTGCTGATATTTTTGGTGGTGGGCTGCGTCATATACGTTACCACGACATGGTTGGGTGTCACCGGAGTGGTTGGCAACACCACCCGCGCAGTGCCCTCACGTTTTGGCATGCACAGCCCTACTGAGGCGAATGTGAACATTCGTTTTGCCGAGCTGTGATGCCTGCCGGCCTGTTCCTCGCTCGCTTGGGTCTATTCCTCGCTAACTACGCCTGCATTTCGTTTGTTCTTGTGCCCTCATTTGATTCCGCATGATTGCTGTATTTCTCTCTTTCTGTTGTGCTTGTGACACTCGTCTCTTTTGGGCGCCTTCACTGTGTTGGTACATCGCTCCCTTGTGTCGTGTTATTCCTTTTTCTGCTGCCCTGGCACCTGATGAGGCAGTGGTGGAATGAGGAAAAATTCGGGGTTGTGGAGCGGACACGACTCGGTTGGTGTGTGTGTGTGTGTGCGTTTTGTTTTTTTTTACACGTATTTGCATTTACCTCCGTCTTTCTCTCCACCTCGTACTGGTGGTGTTGCCGTGTGCGGTATCCGCCCGAAAGAGGGGTGTGGTGCAGGTGTAGCGAAGTGCGCGCATCCAGACTAGCGGGGAAAAGGAGTCCTTTTGCCTGCGGTAACCGTCTTAGTGAGTCGAAGTCGTAGATTCGTACATGCCGCCTTTGAACAGTCGTGCGACGCGCGACTTGGTGAAGCGGCGCAATGTGATTCCAGGCCCCCGCTCGCTGCACCGCGGCATTCACTTTCACGAGAACGAGAAGTTTGTCGGAGCGTACAAGCAGAACCTGAAAGCCGCACGGCGGGATCACCGCGACCTTCTCGTCCACCACCAGAAAATCAATGAGGAGCTTCAGGACGTTTACTCCCGCACCGCCGCCCTGCATGCCGAGAACGCCACAATGGAGGAGCGCATTGAGGAGTCGTGGCGACAGTTTGAGCGTATTGGCGGGAAAAGACCAGCGAGCGCCGCACCCGCCTCTTCGCGCAACAGCAGCACTACCACCGCCCCACCCCGCATGTATGACCACCTTCGGAACAACAAGTCAGGTGTGGGGTTTGCGGACCGTCTGCAGCAGGCCTCGCAGGAGAAGAAGGACCTTCGGGAGCGGTCATGGTGGGAGCGTGAGACCCGCGGCGAGGCCGTTGACTACTCCAAAGGCAGCGCGCTTCATGCGGCGAAGGACAAGCGCATCGCCCTCTTCCAGCGCCGTCAACTGAAGCGTGAACACCTCCTGCGGCGCATGGGTGATCCGACGCCGCTGAAGCAGTCGGGCCGCTACGACATGAATAGTGGAACACTGCGAGTCTTTAACAAGACAATACGCAAGGTACAGCGGGACGTGCAGCACGACGAGCGAACGCAGCAGGTGAAGGAGCGCAGGAAGGGGTCACGCAGCATGTGGGACATGCGCGAGGGCGATACGAATCCCAATCGCCCGTCGCAGGGCATTGTGCGCTACACGCGAGAGTTCGAACTTGGCCCGCGGCAGCGCGGTAAAAAGGGCAGGCGCGGCAACTGACCACTGTGGGGCGATGCGACGCAGTGAGGATGCATGGCAGCGAGTGTGTGCGTGTGTGACTCTGGAAGACAACATCAGGCAAAAAGAAAAAAAGAAACGAAAGAAAAGAAAAGGGAATCAAAGAAAAAAAAACGATGGAGGTGGAAGGAGAACACATGCGGGCGAAGGAGGGATACGCCGCTGCCTTTGTGTGTACGCACGTATCCACTCACGCCGTGTCGTCGCTGTGGTGTCGCTTAATCCCATCGTGTAACTTGAACGACGTCAGGGA